TCGGAGAAAGCTCCAATCTACTTATTCGAGCAAACATACAGCGAAAGCTCTCGTTGCCTCTCTCTCTCTCTCTCTCTCTCTCTCTGTTTTCTGCTATTATCATTGTGTATATGCACAACGTCCGTTTCCAATCTCGTTTGCGCTTACGTCTACGTCAATGTGTAAGTGAATGTATATAGCATATTTGCGAGCGATAAACATACGAAAGAAAAAGAGCTTTTCGTACGTGCATATGTTGATTCTCGTGTAAAAGCTATTTCGCAAGAAGTTAAAGCTGCTTATACTTCTTTTGCTTTGTGGGGAAGATGAATAACTCCGAATATACGAATTAACAGATAATGACGTTCGATCTTATTTATGAACAAAAAGTGTCCACGAAAAAATACGTAGCGATCGCGATTGGACTGAATAAAAAAGCACTTAACAGCTAATCTAATCAAGCTTTGAAACAATTATTGTTACATACGGGTTCAATCGAGCCACAAGGATGAGAATTGGGCATATAAGATTGCAATTCGCTCGATATAGTAAATTTATCATACGGCTACTTTGACTCTATAATGCTCCAAAAAGAGCAATCGATCCTCGCACGTACACACTCTGTTTTATAACATTCCGTTTATATCTTGTACGTGGGAAAAAATCGCTAGAGTCTGGCAAAAGTCGAATCAAATTTAATAACTTCGAAAGCTTGGGAGCTTTTTTAATTGACAAAGTTGCCGTTTAATATATGTAACGTACGCGCTGCGGGAGCTTTACTGCGCGCAGAGACGCCCGCGCGCATACAGGAATAAAAAAGCTCGGTCTACGTTTCTAAGCTTCGCAGTGATAAAAGCTCGGGGAAAAAAGATGCACCAGCCAGCCGCGTTCCTATGCTATATTACGGTATATATACGAGCGGTGTATAGGGGAGTAGCGAGTTATATACACCGGGGGAGAGTTTGCGAGCTTGCGCGCGCGAAAAAAACGGGTCAAGGATGATTAAGAATCAACTCTTGCTGTATATTATATGTATATATACCGTAAAGTGACTATAGCAGTGTTGCATATATAAGCTTGCACTGTTGCAGCGCGCGCCGCACGGAGAGCGCTGCGGAAGAGAGAGAAAGAGAGAGAGAGAGAGAGAGAAGTGCATAGCGGGTCAATGGGATTCACTACGACAGTTTTGCAGTGCAGCTGTGTCTACGTGTGGGTGTGTACGTATTTGTGTGGGAGTATACTCGCAGCAGACAAACGCTTCTTCGTCTGTCTGTCTGTCTGTCTACCTGACTTGTCTCTCTTTCTCTCTCCCTCTCTTACCAAAAATCCCTTGAATACATTTCGCCGAGCGTTTCTGTATGTAATTTTTGTATGCGCCCGCGCCTCGTCTCTCTCTCACTCTCTTTCTCGCTCCTTCTGCCCTCACAAAGTGCGAGATATCGCTAGCTTCTGCTTTTCTGTTCTAGCGCGTGCTACTTGATCCACGCGCGCCGAGTGATTTATGCAGATGGGATTTTATGCTTCTTTTTTTTTTGCTGCGCTTCCTCTCGAGTGCTCTTTGTTGTTGCTTTTTTTCGTACCGACTGCTGCTGCTGCTGCTCGCTCCTCTTTCTTTCAAGTGTGTCGCGCGAACGCTCGGATACCAAGACTAGAGAACGCAATGAGGAAATATTTTCTTCTTTTTTTTGCATCTGCCGCTGCTGCCTGCTGCAGCTTTGCTTTTGGATACTCTGATTACGTTGCTGCTTCAGGCGCATGCAGGGTAGTGAATTTTAATTTTTTTTTCCTTCTCCGCCATCTATCCGTTGAGTTATACCTGCATTTTCTCCTCTTTTTTGTGTCACTAAGACTAAGTATGAATTTATACATTTTTTTTATCGATGAACTATATCGCAATTCACTCAGGCATCTCGAGCGTAAATTTAATCGATTCGTGAAATAATATTCTGCCAAACGTTCAAAAGCTTTTTTTTTATTCAAACGATCATCCACCGCTTACTCTCGCAATGCTCTCGGAAACGCTCGAATCAAACGTAATAGCGTTATAATACGGGAAAATTACGGTCGCGCACACAATATATATTCAGATTGAATGGCTTTTTAACGAAGGGGGTGTTGCGAGAAATAAGCTAGTTTGTGGATAGTCTAGACCAATATTGCGATACAAGCCATATAATAATATCGAGTCGACGCTTTAGTTGAAGCTCTCGAATGGCCAAACCGCAACTCGTGACCACACAAATACCATCGTGCATATATATTGTTATATATATAACGCGTCATTCTATGAAAAACTCGTACTATAGCAGGTCCTTGGGGAATTTGAATTTTGCAGATGGTGCATTGTTCAAGTTTCGATGTTTTTTTATCTCCTGCAGCGTTAGTGCGAGAACAATATTGCACTTATTATTTGGAGCAATAACTTTGATTCAATTTTGCTCCATGGTCATCGCTCCAAACCCATCTACTAAACATATCAAAATATTGAAAAAATAAATTTAATTCTAGCGAGCACATAGCGCAGGCAAAAACACGTTTTCAAACATTTTATAACAATTGAGCATGACATCAGTTGAATAATTCGGTTTTCTAAAATTTCTGTTCAATTTATTCTTATGAAAATTTTATAAAACATGTTACATCTTATCTTCAATTTTTCGTAGAATTACGATATTAACTCAATCGCAAAACATTTGGTTTTATAATGTATGCAAATCCATCATATGCATAAAGTAAATTGATTCCGTCGTTGCAAGTTCATTTTTTCTTTTTTTTTCAACCTAAAGTTCCATCTTTTGTGTAGGTACACGCTTAATTACATTTGCGCTCGAACGAGCAGGAGTGAAATTTCACGTTATATACCAACGGGATAAGATACCGGCACTGCTTCCGGCAGATAGCTAGTTGGAAAGATGCGTCTCTCTCTATATATATGTATATTATTGATTTGGCTTGCTGCCTCTCTCTCTCTATCTCAAGCTTTCCAATGTCGTATTACGCGAGCTTTTCCCCGACTGACGAGATGTAATTAGGTACTCCCGATTTGGGTCAATGAATTTCAGATGTCTCTCGCAGTCCCTCCTTCCAAATCCGAGTGTAGTTGAGCTGGGGCACCTGCAACTGCTGCTATATCAAAATCCACCTCTATTTCGGTCCGCATCATGTAGATGTCTCGGTAGAAAACGCTGTAACGCGTCACGATTAATTAATTATCGGCTTAATTGGTTTTTTGAAAGATCGGCATAAAAAGGATCAAAATGCAATTTTAGATAATACATTTGGCTTCGGGTGAACGTACGGGCGCGAAGCTTACGAGAGAGCTCGTTTAAGGAGGTGCAGCAGGGAGCGCATTACTCAGCGATAATTAAAATTAAAAATACATGTCTCCGCGACGGAGGCAGTTTAGCTCGTGCTTGCTTTTGTGAGCATACATTATATTATACGGCTATTTTCGCCTCGAGTTTCCTGCTGTGGCAACGTCGTATGCTTAGAGCGCAAAGTTTCAATAATCTTTTACGCGCTCGGGGTAATTTATTATAAAAGCCTCCGACTCGCGAAGCCAAAATATCGCTTTTCATATTATACGACGATTACTTTTTCAAGACTGAGCAAAGTGATTTTTCGCTTTTATGTCAATTATTTTCTTTCATTTCTTGTATTTTTTTTTTCGTTTAACATCAACGACTTTTGCAAAGCCAGAGGGTCCCGATTGTCGCTGAGATTTTATCTTTCCTTTTAATACGAAAAAATCAGGCCAATGGAAAGAAAAAAATTAAAATTGTTTCGCGTATCATATATATAAGGTAGTAAAACCGACGCCGAGATTTTATATTGAGGCCAGGAAATAGAGGGAGAAATATAACGATGTAAAGCAATCGAAAATCGATCGAGATTCAATTATTTTGCGCTTCCTAAAACTTATATAACCTAAGCCATGGGATCCTATTTCTTTACAACGACTCACTCAACGCGACGAGATCGTTGCATTCGATTGACGAGCGAAAGGAAGAGAAAAAGGAGAGTAAAATAACGAATCCTAGGAGATGATTTGTTGCAGCACGATGTGGCGTTTAGAGCGAATTAGCTTCTTTAATTTTTCCTCGCAGTTTTTTTTAATACTTTTTCTCCGAAAGCGAGGAAAAATAATATCCATATGCATATAATGGCCGTTTTACTTTTAAGCGCCGAGTAGAAGGAGGAAAACTCGTTTTCTCTCTTTTCTTTTATACACACACGGGCACCCGTGCGAGCTCGCATATACTTACACGTTTTAGTAATAGACTAATAAAAGGGATCGTAAAAAAAGAGGTAAGGAGAAAAAGAAGAAGAAGAAGAAAGTATAAGAGGGAGAGAGAGCAGAAAAACGATGCAGCACGAGCACAGAAGGAGAAAAACAATTCTCGCGCAACGTCGATCGATCCTTTAGATATTTCATGGGGGTAAAAAAGACCGAATATGTATATTCGCTGTACCAATTTACATGTATATTTATGCAACGTCAGGGGTATTTTATTTCCTTGTATATGAATTTACCCCAGAGAGAAAAAGAATAGAGAAAATATGCATAAAGGAAGTGCAGCAAGTTTTCATCCGATCTACGTACACGCTGTATAGCGATAAGAGTCGAGAATGATAAAAAAAAAAAAAAAAAACGAAAGAAGGAGACACGTATGTATAGAGAACGTGTCCAGCCAAGCATTCCATTAACTTTGTAGTCGTTGGCCAGCTTATTACCAGCCGATTATAGATCGCTTTATAAACTTGGCCGTATCGTTATATATATACACCGTAACGGCCGCGCAGCAACTGCTCTTTTATACACACGCACACGTACATAGATAAAATATTATATGTGTATAGAACATTATACGATCCAATTATGTGCGAGAGTAGCATAGTTATCATAAACTATATAATGATCCTTTATCTATGTATAAAGCTGTCGGGCTCAAATACGTTACCGATCTTCTTTTTGTCTCGTTATGAAATATTCAATGTTGTTGTTTTTTTCTTGATTGCAGCAGGACCAACGTCGGTGGCTGAAATGTGAGAGAGGGAAGCAGTACAACAAGGCGAATGACCATCAAAGCTTGGACTCGTCACGAGTGGCCTCCCCAATTCCCCCTAGATGTCTTGTAAGTACAGCACGGGGCTCAGCCCGCATACATACATCGACTTCTCATTTGCATGTAATTACCACCAGTCGTCCGGCCGCCGCGTCCTCGATCCCCGGCTTGGATTTTGGCATCGATCGTTCACGCGCACGACGATTCAATTTTATATACAGATCGTATTCATGCATTAAAATATAGTTATACGTTTTCTCTCTCTCTCTCTCCCTCTTTCTAATATTTACATAGGCTAATGCAAGTTCTCGTTACAGGCACGCATACGTATGTATACGCACGGGCTCGCGAATGGAAAATTAAATTTTCCGTTTCTCGTATGTCATATGCATGTACATGCGTTCTCAAGTGTGCTATATATATGTGCAAGAGAGTAACCGCACGAGGTCATGCATGCACGCGGTGTGTGTAGGTGAGTACATGTGTGTGTGTGTGTATATAGTTAAGAACGTTCGGAATTTCAACTGTATAATTATGTCGTTATCCGGCGCGTGTACACGCAAAACGTATACGACACACATGCGCGGGAGGGAAGCTCTATGTATGTAATTATTCGCACTCGTGCGCCGTTCTCTGAATAATATGATACGGTATCCCCTCGACCCACCTGTACGTGTACGTGTGTGTGTGGGTGTGCGCGCGTGTGTCCGCACCCACCCACCCACCTATGTCCAGCCGAAGCCCGAAGCCATGATGACAGGAGGAGGATGCGTGTTTTTCGACGTGTGCCCCGATTTTTTTTTACTACGTATAGTGGAAACTTTGCGCAATTTTTACATATTTTAATTAAGAGGCGAGACGAAATAGACTGATTTCCGTTTTGAAAAAGCTCTCCGACTTGTCTTTGTTATTATTATTTTTTTTCTCGAAAAAAAGGCATGATTTTTCGAAGCAAACTGCTTTTAACGCGAGTCGAGTGCCCATGCACACTCAGCAGCGGGGGCCTAGGTTCACGCCGAAAGCTCTACTTGCGTGTCTCGACGAAGGCGGAAATTATTCTTTTGTGAGGCAAAATTTTTCGGTTTCTTGATCAAGTATAACGAGGTACTAACTTTGATATTGGGCATATTGCGTATATTACGCATTAATATGCAGTGTTGGTAAAAAAATGTGGGATTTGGAACTCGACGAATCGTCAAATTTTGCAGGTGACATTTTTTTTCCATTTATATACAATGGATGCGCATGTGGGTGCGGCTTTTTATCGCGAGGGTACACCTGTCCGAGCCAAGTGTTACACCGTCGCGTTTTGATTTTGGCCTCGTTTCTCTGACCATCGAGTCGCGATTATAGCGCACACTCGATCATCCATCATTGATATAGCGTTTCGCCTCTCGTCTGACACCGCGTCATTATATAAACTCAAGCAGCGTGGAAGGTGTTACAAAGAAAAAAGTGCCGACCCAGGATGACGGTGATTATAAAAATATTTTCAAATAATCGTCTAGTTGACGTTGTTCCAGACGCGCGCACGCCACAGAGCTTCACGAACGATCGCGTAAACGCAATCATCCAATTAAGGCCTATATATGACGCGTGAAACAATAATAATTATTTAACCGCGAAAATTGCGAGTTTCCTCGTGTGTGCGATATATTGCGTGATATCGTGTGCGATATAATACACGGGTTTGCTTTTCAAGAAATGCCAAATTGAACTAGCAAACTCCGCGCATGAGTGCACGTGCGCAGCCTGCGCACTAAAAAGTTCCTCGTTGAATTATTTATAGCTCGTTTGTGGTTGCGGCGGCAGCGGTGCTGAATCTTTTGTCTCGAGGGAGAATATTTCATGAATTCCGATATATATATGTGCGCAGTGCGTGTGTACGCAGGGCCGAAGATCGTTCGTTACGCTATTCTTTATCGGACGTGTCGCTCCAGATAGTGCACTTGTGTACGTGTCTGTGTGTACTTGATATTTTAATTAAATTAATTCAACCGCAATAGTGAGCCAGCGCGCGGGAGATTTATGCGTCCTGCGTACGTATATATAATTTCACGAATATAATACGATATTATACGCTTTTTCATTCAAGAGCTTCATTATCATATTGCGCAGCCTCTCTCTCTCTCTCTCTCTCTCTCTCTCCCGCTCTTCGAGTTTGCACGCATCTTTTTTTTTCTTCTTTTATTAGCCTATTTTAACCGTTAAGTGTTAAACGACGCGGTTAAAAACGCACCGACCTGAAGGATTGTTGAGGATGGATCAAGGGATAAGATTTTTTAAAATTGTTTTACCTCTTTTCCGATGCTTCTCTTAATTCTGCCGCTGTTACTGCTTCCCTAAAAATTGTGTTTGCAGTTGCGTGCTTTTTTCAGACGAACCATTTTTTTTTCATTTTCAGGTATTTTTATTATTTGAATAAAGTTTCACGTGCGCAGCTGCACTTTGCTAATGAACGATATTCTATAACGAATGCACGAGTGCGTTTATATATATTTTATTTTCCTACCGCAAAAATATTCGAAATATTCGCCAGGCCATTTATTTACTCAAGTTATACTTTTGCTTATTACTGCACAATTTGCAAATAAGAAAGTAATAACAGGAAAGAACAACATACGAATATACTCTTGAAAAATCAGTGATATGCTTAAAGCTTCGGGTATGTGCTTTTAATCAAACGTCAGCTTTCTCAAACGTCAGCTTAGCCCTGCAAGATTTATTCAAGCCAACGTCCTTCGTGAGCGGTCCACTCCCAGCATTCCTTTCATCTATGTCTTCTCTACTGCTCACACGCTCTTCATATACATATATATGCAGAATACCATCGTATATATTATGCAAGGAGTTTGCAAATCGGGATTCCACAAAAAGCTTCCTGTTTTTCCCTTTTATTTCACAAGCGTTCGACGTATTAACTACGAGATTTTGCGTGAGCATGAACCTTCATACTTTTGAAACAGTCCAGGTGGCATTTCTACGCTAATTCAACTGTAGGATATTTACGATCTACATATGAAATAAATATGCATATTACACTGTACACGCACAAATTCTCGAGGAAAATTTTCAACGTGATGAATTTAAATTTATCGAATAAACTTTTTCTTTTCACTTCAATTGTATTGAACACAGTTTTTTAATAGTTTTGGTCTATTTGAGCTCGTCCGAATAATACATGTAACAAATTTTCGCCGATACAGCTTGCGCCGATATTTCAACCTAAATATTTAATGAAATGCTCGAAGCTCGCGAAAAATACTACATTCGACTCGGCGCGCAGCATATCGTCCATAGGTAGAATAGTTTACGTGCTATTCTGATTTAATTTCATCTAATGCAAATTTAATTATACGTAGATAAGCTAAATACAATTTTAGATACGATTATGAATTATTCGTCAGCATCTTGACATGCGTCGCACTGTAACATAAATCATAAAAGCCTTGATTATGCAGCGATCGCGAAAGCTGCTCACGGCACGATATACACAATCTGTCCCTTTGAATCTTGAAGGCGATCACGCGAGCTTGCAATCGTTGACACATACACGTTATTATATCTGCGCAACACGCGGAGAGATTCGGCATCGGTCTCGAGAGTCGTTATGTATTTCGTCCTGTGCGCGCGCGGCTGCTCTCATCTGCTCTGCGCCCAGAGGAAGCTCGAAAGCTCGCGTACGATCTACACCTATGCTTGTGCACACATTCGGGGTTCATATGTGTATACTCTGCCGCGTACACACATACACTCGCGTATCTTAATCCTCTCGAGAGGACGAGCGAGAGCTGCTTCACTCTCGAGTTTGCGCTCGCGCAACTCTCTGTGGCCGCATTATCTCTCTCTCTCTCTCTCTCTCTCTCTCTCTCTCTCTCTCTCTCTCTCTCTCTCGCTCTCTCTCCTGCTTGCTGTATCTTTATGTGCGTGCACACGGAGGATGGACGAAGCAGGCAGACTGACTCATGTATACGCGTTTGCGTATTATAATACACACCATCACGCACATACACGCACATAAAGTTGAAAGCTAAAGGTGACTTGAGTTATGGATGCACACATTGTACCAACAAGTCGTGACCTTTTCTCTCAATTATAATCTTACACTTGACTTTCGGGGGTCCCAGAAAGAATGGTGAATGTGTAAATAATGAAAATTTTGATAAGTTTTGTTTGACTTTTCCGATATCGTTTGCAACTTTTCTGTGACTCTCTCTTTAGCTTTGAGAAATCGGATAAATAAAAAAAAGACTAATATTGCACGAATCCAATTATTTTTAACTCGACAAACATCAACTTTAAATGCTTTCCAGGCACTTGTTGCATAAATAACTATTCAAATTATTCAAATTTTTGAGGATTTGGGGCAGATTTTGAAAAATTAAAAGTGTTTGTTCAAGTTTCAGACATGACAAAATTGATAAAAGTAACCAACAAAAATAAATATTTCATTGAGAAAAAAAAATGATGAAGGTCTGAAAATTATTTGCAAATAAGTCTCATACTCATTACAATTTTTCTTTTCTCCATAATGTCCTAATGTATTACCCTGTCTCATACGCTAACAAAGAAATGAGCAAAATTTGGTAAAGATCAGCAGAGTAGATTCGGAAATTAATTGTCCGCCATTAAAATAAATCACTTTTAACAAAGAATGTGCGTGCTTCGATAAAATGGATCCAAAAAGTACAAAAAAATGTTAAAAAATTGTTATTTTTACCTGTGATAAGTAAACATTCAAGTTATTTGATGTCCAAACCCAAAAATAGAGTCAGAAAAACGATTGGAATGATTTTGGCAATTGTAAACCTGGAAAAAGTAGCTAAATTAACGGAAAATAAAAATAGCTCTATAAAAGAATATTTATAAAAATGCCTCAGATTTACGAGTTTTCTAATTTGAACAATCATCAACGTCCATTACCCACGCCAAGTGACAAAAATTTAAATTGCAATTTCAGCCTGGAATTTGAAAGTTTTTTTCAAAAAAATAGCTCACATACGAGCATACTTACACGTAAAAGTACGAGGCACGCGTACACTTGTAAAAATCTCTTTTTTTCGGCAAGAGAAAACCGAGTTATAAACCGAGTAGTGGCTAATTACTCTATGCACAGGAGCTCGTCAAATTCACATGGAAATGTAATTTCAAAAAAAGAGCTCGCGGGCGAAGGAGCTGCTGAAAAAAGAGAAGAAAAAGTCGCGTGGCACGCACTCTCGACACTTTTCGTGAAATATAATAATATATTTATATAATAATAATAATGTCATGTAATGCAAGGTACGTCGAGCTTCGAGTCAAGGAGGCTGCGTACATCGCGTATCGTACATATAGTCTCGCACTCGAGTATTATAATATGCATTCCGCAAGTTCGAGTGAAGTAATAACACGCCTGTGCACGTGTTACGTATATATATTCTCCCGCGTGTAGGCACTATACATATCCAGAGGGGAGTAGCGCATTTTTCTCACGCAATACTTATTCTTTTGCGCTCGTGCCTGCATCTATCCTTTTACACATACACGCGTACACGAAAGCATACACCTCATCATTTTCTCTTTGCCACAAGCTGTCTGGAGATATATAATATCTATACATACGTTTGTATAGCTACGTGGGGGCACGAGCTCTCGAGCCCCGTAAAATACATAGCTGCATATACTTTATCGCCGAATTGCTGCGCACTTTCTTCGTATTACAGCGAGTCGCTGCCGCTGCTGCCGTTACTCTCTATCTCGCACAACCTTTATTTCCCGGAAAAATCATATTCTCTCGGCTCGTTTTTTTCATCTTATTTCTTCTTTTGCTTTCCAAGTGCAGAACTCTCTCTCTCTCTCTTTCCCTCTATCTTTCTATCTATATAGACTCTCGAGTCTCGGTACGGTCTCTCGAATGTAGCTTTATCTGCTCCGAGGTCCTTATACAGTACATAGCGCCGAAGTGGGCGATAGAATTTATCGAGTCGCGCGCGCCCAACACTGCAGCTTCGGACTCACCTCTCTCTCTCTCTCTCTCTCTTTCTCTCTGCTGCATGTCTTTTTTAACTATGGGCGAGAGCTGCGATGTGGGTGCTACGCCTACACGGCATAGTGTAGGTATATAGAGTAGAGAGCGAGGCCGGAGTGAGTCGAGTAATTGGATCGAGTGCAATTAAAAATCTAATAGGGATGGCTAAGAGCGAATAAGGAGGACTAGCCCGACGAAAGTATATGCTATATACGAGCTATGTAAGAGACAGAGAGAGCCGACTGGGCGCCCCGTTCTACCGGCTTTTAAATTGCTTTTCGGTAAGCGAGCGCAGTTCAGTCTATATAATAGCTGCGCGCAGTTTGTTGTACACGTCTGTATAGCCTCTAGGTGAACTCCCTGTACAGCCGACCCGAGAACAATAATAACGCACATAGAGATGGAGAGAATGGCGAGAGATTTTCGCCATCTCGATTATTCAACTCGATGAAAATTGCATTAAAGTTCCGCGACGTCTCGACTTTATTTTCTTAGTTTTTTCCTACTAACTTCATTTGTAACTAATTGGTTTCTTGATTTTATAAAAAAATTCAGCCCGCGCGACGTCCTTTAAAATATTTAACGCTTGTGCCGCTACGATAAGAGCTCGTATTTTGGTCTCAAGTGCGGCGCAGATGAAAATCGACGCGCGAGCGGCTTTTCGGATTCCGCAGACACGCGCTGCTTCCGCTGCCGCCGTCGAAAATTTTCGTCGCAAAAAAAGCTGTGACAGGCAGGAGCAAAAAAGAGGTGCACGCGAAAATACAAACGTATCATGAAAATGCCAGTTCTCGGCTGACAATGCGGTCACAAGCGGGCGCGCGCGGCCGCTGCTCTTGCTACCTGCAAATATATGTGTGCCCGCGCACGTGTGTGTGTGTGTGTATGTGTGTGTAAACGAGCTTTTTTTCTTTATTTCCGTACACTCGAGTATACGAGGAATCGTAGAGAGAGAGGCAAAAAAAGCTCGTCGAGTAAGCGCTCGCGAGAGTAATGTCGGCATAGCGTGATACGTGTTATATATAAATGTGTGTACACGGTAGCTCGTTCATTATTCCGGCAGATCCGCAGGCGGATTTGTTTTTGCCTTCCACAGCACTGGATGTATGCGTGTATGTGTGGACGTCCTTTGTACGTGTAAACGTTCGACTCGGAGTGCCGAATCGCGCCATGGCTCATGGAAAAGAGGATAAAAAGGCCACTGAGACAACTTTGAGATGTGTGTATATACGTTTGATGAGACCGGCTTACCGGAGCGCATATCACATACATAGATACATGTATGAGTAGTACGGCGAGCTCTTTTATCGAGCTAAGTTTACTGGGTTAATGCATTTTTAAATCGCCGAGCTTATACATGAGAGCAGTGTACTTTGATCCTTCGGCTGCGCGTGTCTGTGCCTGTGGGCGCGAGTTCGTATGTATAATATATTATATAGCTATACCCAAGTTATGCTATGAAAATGAAGTAAGACATGAAAATGAGCGATTCTTACGATATGAAATACTGCACGCACGCGCGAAACAAGTCGATCACGATGAAAGATTAATGTTTTTGCTGCAGCCCTATAATGTATTGTACTGACTTGTTTACCTGCAAAAATTATTTTTTCGTATTTCTCATATTACGTATACAACGCGCGAAAAACCTTACCCGAGGACAAACTTTCGCAATGGTAACTTCGGCTCTTTTCAGTTCCCCGTTGAAAAAAAAAGATTCTACTTTCAGTTTAATACTTTGAAGCTTTTCAACTCGGGCTATATATGCCGCGCGCACCCATACAAAAAAATGCGCGCGTACATATTATTACGGTATTATATATATTACAGTCAAGGAGCCAACGATTGTTTACGACGTCGTTGCGTATAATGCAAAAACTTGCGAACGTTATGACGATTAAAAGTTTTTATTTTTTATTTCGTATAGTGCGCGCCCAAGTACTCTATACAGCCCTGGAACTCGAAGAGAAAGGAGAAAAGAGAGAGAGAGAGAGAGAGAGAAAGAGAAAGAGAGAGAAAAAAAGGCTGCGCATTTTACATAAGCAAAGTTTCACGGTGATTTTTTCCCTCTAGCCCTTTTCTCTATTTTCTTTTTTTTGTACTCGGTCGAGACGTGTCAACGCCGTACATGCCCGGCTATAATACAGGCTCGAGTAAACTTTTTCAATTGTATTTTACGCATTCGCGACCCTGTAATAATTCGTCAGCAGTGGGGTATAAGGAATATCTTTGCATCTTTCATACGTCGTCTTGTCGAAAAAATTAAAGAAAACGGATCGTGCGAAGTTTCAGTTCCGGTGCCTTTATATGGAATGTATATTAGATGATTAAATCACCAAAAATGAAACTTGAGGTTTCTTTTTCTTTTGGACGAATTTTAGTTTCTGGAATTATATTCAACTAAAAACAAATTATTACAACAATTTTTTTATTCATTAATGTCTATTGTAATACTCATTGTTAAACAAAGAGATTTCATAAAAACGTTGGGACGTAAAGGGGAACGAACTGACTTTCGACACTATTGAGTGTCGCCCAGTCCCAGCGAGCCATATAGACTCAGTCACCGAGGAGTCACTCCCACGATTATCACACCTAAAGAAGTTTCACTTCGAAAAAAATCCTTCATCTTTGCATTGCTAATTACTTATAGATCTGCTTGTTGATTGTTTGTTACAGGTGGATGGGGCGTGCTGGCATGAGGCTCTCGGAAGCCGAGTCGGCGTCCGACTGCATCCTCGTGGTCGGCGTGTCGCGTCCAAAGCTGGCCGCGGCCTTCCTCACGGTCGCCCTGATCTCGCTCTTTCTCACCTTCCACATACTCTACGACAGCGCGCTTTACAGTCTACACGCAGCGGCGGCCGCGGCAGCTCGCGAGGCCGTTGATTCTTCGTCGTCCTCGTCGTCCCTGGACCTATTGGTTCTCGACAATGGCATCGACGACAACAGCTACGAAAGCAACAGCATCGACGTCGTCGCCGCTGCCCCCTTCGGGACACCGCCCGCGGCCGTCACGCCCTCACTGCAGCTCCGGATGACGGCGGCCTACAACACGGCCTCGCCGCCGGCCAAGGCCCACTTTCCCAAGACGAGCCGACAGCTGCCCCAGGCGATCATCGTCGGGGTGCGCAAGTGCGGCACTCGGGCCCTCCTCGAGATGCTGTTCCTGCATCCGCAGATTCAGAAGGCCGCTGGCGAGGTGCATTTTTTCGACCGCGACGACAATTACTCCAAGGGCCTCGAGTGGTATCGGAAAAAAATGCCGTACTCGTTCAAGGGCCAGGTGACCATCGAAAAGAGTCCGAGCTATTTCGTGACGCCTGAGGTGAGAGCGATTGCGATTCAGATAAAGCAAAAGCTATAGTCCTGCACTGAGCAGTCTCTGCCAAACACGCGATCGTCGATGAACTTTAATACATCACAGAGCACCTGCCGTCACATGCAGCTTCGTTTTTTTTTTTTTTTAATTTTTTTCATACACCATCTGTTTTTTCCCTCTCTTTTGTCTTCGACACGGTGATTTTAGCACATAATATAAGATGAGAAAATTAATAAGCTTTTTACGTCACTGCACACACTATGCAAAATCACTGCAGCAATTTGAGCACTCAAAACTTTTCAAATTATGAACTACTCTAAAAAAATTTTCGGTCGAAACTATATATTTATCGATTGCTTTCGTTACTAACAATGATTTTACGTTCGTACTTTTAACTGGCAATTAACCACGTTCAATTACAAACAAAAAAAGAATTTTATTTTCCTCCCAATTTTTTTTATCGAAAGCAATGTTTCAATTACTTTTGATAAAATAATGTACATTAGATTGATCAATCGATTCAGTTATAAGATTTTCATCAAGTATTCAATTACCAATATGGCAAATCAATTTCGAGCCGTTATCATGTATCTTTTGCGCTCAGCATATGAAAAAAACTAAATGTAAAAAAAAAGGAAAAGAGTAACACAGCACAACGTAGCAGATATTAACTTTCAAACGAATTGGGTTAAAGCAATATTATTCAGTTTTTCTAGGGTCTTCACAACGTATGGACCGATGCACAGCATGCCGTGTGTAATAAAGCACTGACAAAGCACCTATATATCAACTGCAATAAAAATTAGTATATTTCACGTTCACTATGAATATTGTTATTATGAATAATTGCACTTTTGGTCACCACAACAGCAATATTACATGGAATGAAAATGAAAAAGCTCTGCAATCGTAGTTCGATTATGTACATGAAAATGTAATTTTATTTTTACTTTTTGTTGCACTCGCCTCGTAATTCCGTATATACACATAATAAGTTGGCTCGGGTACGCGACAAATCCTCGAGCTTGCAGCTGTAGCTTCCGTTGTGGAATACTAAATATCAAAATGAAATTTCCCGTCGACTGCCGCTGCAAGCTGGCTGTCCCGCGATGTAATGCCAGCAATACAACACAGTGTCTCGTGGTGGTGCGCGCTTCGAAGACCTCTCGGCCAAGTTCTGTCTTGTGTGCATTACACAAAGTGCGCGTTGAATGATAAAACTTTCTCGACGCGACTTATCTCTCGGTCCGATTAATTTTAAACTCGTTGAAAGAAAGAAGCAGCAAAAAAAGGAAAAAAATTGTCGCAAGTCGCGCGCTTCGTTTCTGCGCGCATTATAGGGTCGATTTCGTTTTACGTCAGGAGAGTAGTATAACAGTGGACACGATAGATAATTACAAAATTATTAGCTTCCTTGCAGGACTGCTGACAAAATGTGCACAGTTGTAATATGTGACTGGAATCCGCAAACGTAAATTGTGTCGTGTTGCGCGCGCGCGTGTGCACCTTTGCCTGTGAATACTCATATATCGGCAACGAATTCGAGAGTGTTAATGTTGCAAGCCTTCAAAAGCACCTTCACCAATGCCTTCACCGTATATAATATATATGAGATAATGTATGTACAAAGCACAGCCTGTTTCTCTTTTTTCTCTCTCACCTATCGCACATACGCTAGCTCACGTACGTATTATAATATTCTATCTCTTTCTTTTTTTTATATATACTACAATACATCCCGTGCCTCTCTGTACGTTTATATTACCGATATGAGCTCGCGCACACACTTGCGCCCGCAAGCTAAAATAACGATAATCAATTGGATTCGTTACGCTTGGAATGACAATCGCACCGATCCGAACTCCCTCCTTCTCTCTCTCTAGCTTGCAAAGGAACTAGCTTCGAGGGTTAGTTAATATTGATTTCCCAGAGTCCCTGTGTTCATCCGACGTGCTGCAAATATAACAGCACAGAGAGAGAGAGAGACCAATGGCAGCTACAGCGGCAGCAACAGCAGCAGCAGCTAGCTCTACACGTACTATGTCTGTGCTGAAAATTGTACCTGACTACCTGCCATGGCTCTGCACGCGCGCAATATTATCGATAGTGCAGCAGCACATATAGCTCCCATTGACAGTCGAACTGTATATGTATGCAAGGGCGAAGGTTTATATTTATTAAAACTAGGTCGCAGTTAATTATGAAAATTGATCGAGTTGCCGTGTGCGCAAGTACACAATCCCCAAGTCCGCGGCGGACGTACTATTATTATGAATGCGCACACGAGGCGCGCGGGCCACGCGCGTGATCGAATTATATTTTGGCGTACGCGCAAACAATTGATATATACGCACTGTCCGTCCCGCGCGCGCTGCAATATGTATACCTATGTACGAGAGTGCGGGGGTCGCGAGGCGCAGAGACGCTATATAGAGCCAACCTGTTTTCCTATCGAACGCGCGTAATGGCTACGTATCGCCGCGCTCGTTTGATTAATTCCCACACCACTGCTGTAGCATAATAAGTAGGCGCTCGTATACCAGTTTACCAACGGTTGTTTTTTTATGTTTTAGCCGCGAATACCGAGGCGACTCCGTATATCTTGAGCTCGTTGCGTAATTGCGGAGATGCAGATCGCAAGCTAACGTATATATCCAATTTGATTATTTGCTGCAACCGAAAAAAGCAAAAAAAAAAACCAAGCGACAGCGCTTCGATTCCTTCATATATCATATTACAATACAATGTTTATAATTCCAGTTGACCTGCAAGCTCGTGAGCTTTAAGGTAAGTGCAGCATTACGATTAATGAATCGAAGTGCTGTTGCGTGTAAGTGTGTGCGCTCGCGGTAATAAGGCACCGATATTTTATTCAATATAAAATATATATCATGTGATATGCACTCAGTGTTATAATTGTCAACAAGGTTATTTGGGTATCGATGATAATGAATCTCTTACATGTAGCTGCAACGACTCATTTTGTTCAAATTGTTCATCATTCAGGTACCGGAGCGAATCTTCGCCATGAACGCGTCTGTGCGTCTGTTGGTGATTGTACGTGAGCCAGTTACGAGGGCCATCTCCGATTACGCTCAATTGCGCAGTCACGCGTCGTCTACGCCGTCACCGCCAACGTCGTCCTTCTCTTCCTCCTCGTCCTCGTCCTCGTCCTCGTCCTCCTCTCCTTCGATGTCACCCGTCAGCAGCAACAGCGTCAACAGTTTTCAAAGTCCAAACTCGTCGACGTCGACGTCGCTTCAGCAACAGCAGCAACAGCAGCAGCCACAGCAGCAGCAGCGCAGTTTCGACGAATTGGCCATCAGATCGGACGGGACGATAAACGAGTCGTATCGGCCGATCGCCATCTCCATTTATCACATGCACATGTATCGCTGGCTCGAGGTGTTCGAGCGCCGTCAGATCCTGATCGTGAACGGCGACCAGCTGATCGACGACCCGGTGCCCCAGCTCAAGCGCATCGAGAGCTTTCTGCGCCTCGAGTCGCACATCGGCCGCCACAACTTCTACTTCAATCACACCAAGGGTTTCTACTGCATGCGCAGCGACAGCGAGGAGAAGTGCCTGAAGGAGAGCAAGGGACGCCGCCATCCGCGCGTCAGCCCCATGGTCGTGAGCAAGCTCAGGCGCTTCTTCAGCGAGCACAATCGCAAGTTTTACGATCTCGTCGGCGAGGATCTCGGCTGGCCTGAGGAGTAAAGAAAAAGAGTCGAGATAAGAAGTAGGAAGAAAAGGAAGAAAAAGATGCGCATCAACTATCGTCGTTTCTCGTTCTCTCGTACGCGTATATGTATGTGTGTACATATTCGAGTGCACGTATGTCAGTGTGAGTGTGCGAGTGTGTGCGTGTGTTGGACGGAGAGAGGTCAGCGACCTCGTAAATGTACTGCCAGTGCGGAGAAACTATTTTACTTCTGCAATATATAATGCGGGCTCGAGTCAGCATAAAGTTGAGCACGTCGATTGCTCGGACAGTTTGCTTGAAAGTTCAGCTCTATATGTATACTTATGCCGTGTCTGCACCTATATGCCCCGCAGCCTCCGTCGAACGTTAGCTTCGAAATTAAATGCTCGAACGCTGCTACAACTGCTGCAGTACCTGACAAAGTCATCGCGATATATTTTCACGAAATTACGTAGATACAACGTGTCGTTGAGCTTTTAATTTGTTACATTCGATTGATCGACGTTTTTTCTCGTTCTCTTTCTCTCGCTCTCCTTCTCTTTCATCGCCTCCGCTGCCGAATGTACAATGAGATACAAAGAGAATTTCTCTATACGAATGACAACGTACAAAAGCTCGCCAAGTATTTCTATGAAAATCGATGCGGCATTGTTGCGCACCCGTACTCGCGCGAGAGAGAAAGATAAGTTCATAAAAAAAGAGAGAGAGGGGAAAACGGTAAAACGAGGAATCCCTCTTTTGCGCGCACTCTTTGACACCATAGTGCGAGCAAACGAGCGAAAGGCAATGCTCAAAAAACAATTGTAAATGTCGCAGCTGTATATGACAACACGCACACGTATACCTTTATGTACGTACGTTGCTGCACGATCGCGAAAAATAGAACATTGTTACAAGTGCTTTTGTCGATCGCTGCAGCGTAAAATTTTTCCGCCTCCCTCTTCTCCCTCCGAGGCAGTCAGCTCCCCGAGTAACGATTTGAAAAATATGCAAAAAACTAGATATATATGCGCAGTAAATCCGAATGTGGCAATGTATTCAAGCTTTTCCAGCGACGCACTTCAAAACAACGAACTCCAAAAAAAAAGGAGAGAAAGAAAAGGAAAAAAGAACTAGCTTCGAAATTTGTATTTCGTATATTTGAAGTAGCACGAATTCCAGCGCACCTCGTGCTGTGCATGCTACCACGAGCCAAGGGTAATGCAGTCGCGTGCGAACGAGCGAGCAAAAAAAAAATCACTTTGCAAAATATAAAGTGGCGTGGCTGCGATAAATAACGCGACACCGTGGGTTCTCTACGTGTGTACGTATATATAAAGCTCGACAAAGCTTACTTCTCCAAGACATCTTCTGCAGCTCGCAGCTCTTTCTCTGTGCATATACGTATATGTACGTGAGCCTCGCGCATTAACGTTCCAGCTGCCGAGGTAGGAGGGTTAAAAGGGGTGAGAAAGTAAAAAAGGGCTCGGGGATTGGATTTTTATCAGGCTGTATCGTGGGGAGCATGTGTGGGCATGTGTATGTCTCAAGAGCCGAGTGCTTTTTGTTTCTGTTTTATCTTTGAGAGATGCTGCAGCTAATCGCGTGCGGCACGATGGAAAAGGAAAGGGCGTCTGGGCGCGCGCTCGAGATCGAGCCGTTTGCCAGCAGCGTGTTTGCAGCAGCAAAGCTAATTATTTATGCTTCGAGACACCGTACGTATATGTACACAGACGAAAAATACGTGTAAACAACTTGTATCAGAGACGAAATTTTTCAAAAGGAAAAAGTGAGAGAAAGGCAAAAAACGCACAGAGTATGAAAACAATTTCTTTGAATTTCCCTCTGCGCTCGCTCGGGCGCGCAGGAAGAAGCGACGATCTCGAAGCCACTTGCGAAGCAGGAAAAAAGGGAGGACACTCTTTCTCTCTCTTTTTACTTTTTCTCTCTCGCTCGTCACGGTAAAATTGAATTACTCTCTATGCGCGAGGGCGCGCGGCGGGGGTGACTCTGCCCGGCGTAGCTCCACGTAACTCTGTATCGAAGATCGATCAGGTCGCTTCATGGAATTAAATTTAGTTATATTGAAATAAAACGAGCTCAAAGAGATATATTGAAAAATACGGCTGCTGCTGCAGCAGTTTCAGCTGCGTACAGTGAGTTCTACTCCTCTTACTCAGCTTTCGCTCTCTCGCAGCGTGTCATGTCTCGTAAAGATTCCGCAGCGCGAAGCTGCACAGTGCAGCTGCGTCTGTATCCTATACAGACACACATACAGGTATATCTGTACAGAGTGAGAGTCAGAGCGGCGCAGCGTGCACATACAACGACATTATAAATTAAACTCACCAGCAGCTTTTTTACGACTAGATGAACGACGTCGTATATATACTTAATTAAGCACAAGCTGACTTCTTTGCTACGTGTGTAGTGTGTACGTGCATGCACAGACTTGGACGAGTGCATATATATGTATCGCACGCAAGTCGGAGCGCGCGCGCGGCGCAGCTCAAAGAACCCACCGCCTCGGCTAGATGCTATGTATATACGTACACACATACGCGCGCAGCGCACAAATACACATGTATCCAGCTGCACCCCGGCGCCCTTTTACCTTTCTCGCACTCTCGAGTCTACGACCTCGTTTCTTTTTTCGTGTGTACGTTTGTGTGTATGCGTGGTGCAGTGGCAGCAGCACGCGGGGGCTCTGTTGTGTTTGCTCGCTTTTTTTACGGCTACTGCCTCGCGCTGCTTGCTACCTGCTGCAAGCTCAACGACACTTTCAAAGCTTCAGAAGTCAAAGACTTTCGCGTGTGTGTATTATATATATATATATGTGTGTGTGAATGTATGTGTGTATGTACATGCAGTCGACAGCAGCGGCCATTTGCCGTAATGGACATGATAATTATACGCGCCGAGCTTGCAAGCGCCAACTCTGTGTCGCTCTCTGCGCGCTCTATAGGCTTAGGATATAATTTCATTATTCGTGCTCGGATTGTGAATTCCCACATCGCTATTATTGTAAACATTTATTAATTCGTAATGGAGAAATAAAGTTTTGCCTCCTTTTTTTCCGCTTTCGTGTACTTTACGGAAAAGTTCAACGAACCGCGTTTATATTTATAAATATGAACTAAGAACTTGCGGGTCCTGCCCCAAGCGCGGTACACTCGCGCGATATAATAGAAAATGAATGCGGAAGCCAAAAGCGACTCATTGCGCGAAAGTTCAGAGGTCTCGACCGGCTGTGAACGTGGCTGTATGTGTGTGAGCGTATACAACACAAAGAAAGAGTGAGAGAGTCGTTCAAGTTTTGTATTTGTACGAATGAGCTGCACAAAAGAAGAAAACCGAGTGCACGTGTAGGTGTGCGAGCTGTGCCGAGAAAACGCGAGCTCGTGTCTATGTGTGTTTGTGATTGTGTGTATGCACAAAAGATCGTATATACGAAAAGTGTCTCGGTACCCGGAGAGCAGCTGCCAGCGCCGAACAAAAGAGACACGCCGTCGTCGTCTCTATACCAAACAAGAAACTACAGTCTGCGAGTGCACTATATTATATACGACGGAGCCGCGTGACAATTGACAGAGAGTACGTATGTAGTATTCGATACGTACGGAGCAGTCGAATGCGCAAAAATATTGTATCGAGTAGATCGACTTTCGATTCTATATCCTGTACGTATTTCTTTCTCTCTCCGCACACAACGCACACAAATTTACGAGGTTTGTTCGAACGTTATAACGACGTATATCGAGCGTATGTGATTGGCAACGTATGGCACAGATAAACACTTTATATAGATATGTAAGACGCTGCGAAGAACGAGAATAAAATGTTAAAATTTCATTGTGTATTGTGTATAAAAAAAAAGTATGTAACATATAGATTTACAATTTTCGGAGCCATGGATCATATTGGTCTGCTCGAAACAACCAAAAGGGTTGCTAGGTAGATATAATGACGATAAAGAAAAATGCAATTCGCTACGTAACGCTGAGATATTAATAAAAAAACAGCATAGACTTGATCGTATTTAAACATATCAATATAGTTGTCAAATTACAGTTGCATATCACTATAAATATATGCATATATTGTGAGGTAAAAATTAATAATACTTGAAAAATGCATAAGAAGATTTAATATTTTTCTAATTCACATTGGAAGTTGTTATTATAATATTTAAAAATTAAATCGTTAAGCTGATAATTACAAAAGTATATAATAATGAAATTATATATACATTACGTGTATGGATATAATAAGTGTAAATTGTAAAACAAAGTTTATAAATTATATTCGTCAGCAAGTCGTGCATGTGTGTGTGCGTGAATGATGATATTAATGAAGATGCGAACGAGGTATAAATTATATAATTCAAACTAAACTATTTCGTCGATCAATTGACTGAAAAAGTCTTGGCTTGTTTTTTTCTTTTCTTTTTTCATTGTTCACCGAAGGTAAAATTTTTTATTCTCTCTCTGTCTCTGTCCTTCGATTCACGTGTGGTTTAACACGATCAGCGTGATAGAAAAGAACAAAAACAAAATAGAAACACAATAGCACGAACTTACCATTTATATCGGGTGCTAGTATCCTATAGTAAAGTAGAGCAGCAGATCGTCGGTGTGTACGCGTGTGTGTGTATATAAATTTACGTACATGCTGATTAAGTTGGACCATGTCTCTCGCGAGCGCGTGGCGTAACCAGAGTCATTTTTTCCGCGTGTGCACGGAGGAACTCACTATGTAGCAGCGTCGCGTGGCAATTAAGGGCCACCAGCACACACACACATACACACACTCGCGTATACGTACTGCACAGACAAACGGACGAGGAAAGTTCTCAAAGGAGCTTCAATTAATCTACACACGGCCGCGTGTGGAAAGCTTCGCCCCGTAAAGTTGAAACAACTGTTCTCCGCCGGTGAGTCCATAATTATGTGGCCACGCCTGGCCATTTCTCAACCTCCCTTAGAGCCTTGAGAGATCAATTAAAAGTTGCTTTTAACGCCGCGCCGCCCAAAGTGCAGTTGGGCGCCTCGGCATTAACATAATGCCGAATTACTTCGGCAAGTGCTCGACTGCCACGGGCGACGCCGCGCCTCTCGCGCACAATGCGGCTGTACGTGTACATTATAATAGATGGCATTATAAACGAGGCTCTGTAATTAAGCGGTTGCCACAGTCGGCGAAACATCGAATACGATCGTGAACGCAAAGCCAGTAGTAGAAGCATCAAAACAACGAGGCGTTAAGGATCGAAAACAAGGTGAAAATTGATCGTTTTCCCATTTTCGTTCTCTCCCTTACTCTCCATCTGCTCGATCGAAATGTGCAGGGGAAGTTGAGAAATTACGAGCTGCACAGGCGCGCCGCAATGTCACAAACGATCGCGTGTATACACATACGCGTGTGTGTGTCTGTGTGTTAGGTGCTACATGGGTGCTACATACGCGCGAGGGATAGCTCATACGGATGTGTGTGTATGTATGGGCAGTCGAGCCAGAGCAAGTAGCTGATAACTAGCTGGCTCTGCTCGAGCGTGTCCAATATCAGTTGCCAGTTGCGAGCTTTAGTTCCCCTCCTCGCTATCCCAGCCTCTCTGTCCCCTCCCAGGAGAGTTCGACTTGCAATTTGGAAACTTCGGCGAAAGGACGATTCAGCCGAGCAGTAGTTTCTCACTCCGTCCGTCCGTCCAAGTGTGTACGTACACGTGTGTGTATGTGTCTGTTTCATGCACGACTCCAATATATATAGCATATATACATAGCTTCCTCGTCTCGCGTTCACTCGATCACTAAAGCAATACGTCTGGCTCTCTTTCGGATACGGTAGAGAACGACGGGAGGCAGCTAGTTCGATTGGCTTTGACGACGCGTCGACGTTCAAAAGGTGACGCGATAAAAATCAGCATCGATCCGCACGCAAATTCTTTTCTTTTTTTTCTTTTTTTTTCGTCCGTGCTTCCACCTTTTGTACATATTATAATAACGAACATTCGCTTCTTTCATTTTTTTTCTCTCCTTTTTTTTTCATTATTCTCGACACGTGCCAGTGGCTTCTGCCGTGAGCTTATCGCTGCTGGAGCGCTCGCGAGTT